TCATAGTCTCTTTATGTCGGGTTGCCATATTTCAAAAAGTGAAAATCTAGACACAAAAGTTGTTGAGCTTTCCAGTTGTTGATCCTAAGAGCCTTTTTTATGCTCTCTTCTATTGTAGGTTCAACACCTTTCACACCAGTCATTTCAGGCTTTTCAAATCTATTTTTTATTTTACGTAACAGAATTAATATGCCGCTCAAAACCGCAATGCAGTTTACATAAAATATGCATTGTACATTAAAACTATGAATGAAATCATATGCCAAAAAACATGTTAAGGAAGAAGGAAATAAAATATAAACTCAGCAGTATAAAAATATACTTCTAAAATAAAATTATGTCTTAAATACAAGTCGAATTTACATTTCCAGGGAGGTTTGCTGAAACAAAACCAAAAAAAGCATTGAGCAGCTGCTTTTCATAGCAGTTTTTTAAAATCTGAAAATTTATCGCACTGCTTGTGTGTTGTGTGATTTCAGTTATTTTGTGCACTTGATCTTTGACCTTTCTACTGGGAATCATTTTATGCTGCCCCTGTTATTACGGTATTTTTTAACGTTGTGTTTTATCATTTTATCTTCGCGAGACAGACTGAGAACTATGTTCCTAGTTGGCTGGTATAACTACTGCAAATCAATCAATCAACCAACATAAAATCTTTTGACTTTCAAAGAATTTCGGCAGGCTACAGTAATAGTATAATATAATCTGTCTGTCTCTCTATCTACCTATTACACTTTTAGTTTTCAGAGTGATAGAGAAATAAACAAACTCCATGCAAACCTTTCATGTAGAAATGCACCCGTGTTTTCAGACCCTAAACCTCATTTTCTTTCTTCTTCCTGAACACACAGAGCAATTCCCTGTTACATCTTGTGTGTTGCATGACTTGGAAAGCTGGGATCTGCCTGGAATGTGAAAAAGGGAATAATTTATATTTAATTGGTCTAAACTTACCTTTCCTAGGTCAATAAGAAGAAGGAATGCAGCCGCATTAATCAAGATAAAATTATCAGCTGATTAATCAGTGTTCTAATTACTGCATAGTTCTTTCCCTTTTCAGTTTTAATTACCAAACTTCATTGTCTTTTCCATATGGCCATCCTGCATTTGCAATACCCTCCCCCCCTCTCCTCCTGGTGAGATCATTAATATAAAAAATGTACATTCAAAGGCCTATTGAAAGCATAAGTGATTGCCACGGCCAGCTAATGCATAGGCAAAAAAGTGATACATAACATAACAGCTAAAGGAGATGCTAGCTCAAATCTGTTCATCCTTTTAAAAAGAAAGAGGCAGAAAAATGGGAGCCAGGGTTTTTTTGCAGGGCAAGAAAACCTATGGGAGTCATGGGCTACATAATTATTCATTAAATTTATATGTAGCCATTCATCCAGAGATTACAGGGCAGTTTACAACATAAAAACACAAAATGCATGATGTAATAATAATAATAATAATAATAATAATAATAATAATAATTTATTTATACCCCGCCCATCTGGCTGGGTTTCCCCAGCCACACTGGGTGGCTTCCAACCGAATACAGTGGTACCTCGGGTTAAGAACTTAATTCATTCCGGAGGTCCGTTCTTAACCTGAAACTGTTCTTAACCTGAAGCACCACTTTAGCTAATGGGGCCTCCCGCTGCTGCCGTGCCGCCAGAGCATGATTTCTGTTCTCATCCTGAAGCAAAGTTCTTAACCCGAGGTACTATTTCTGGGTTAGCGGAGTCTGTAACCTGAAGCGTATGTAACCCGAGGTACCACTGTATTAAAAACAATACAGCGTCAGGCATTAAAAACTTCCCTAAACAGGGCCGCCTTCAGTTGTATTTTAAAAGTAAAATAGTTGTTTATTTCCTTGACATCTGCTGGGAGGGCATTCCACAGGGCGGGTGCCACTACCGAGAAGGCCCTCTGCCTGGTTCCCTGTAACTTGGCTTCTTGCAGCGAGGGAACCACCAGAAGGCCCTCGGCGTTGGCCCTCAGCGTCCAGGCAGAACGATGGGGGCTATATTATTATTGTTGTTGTTGTTGTTGTTATTATTGGTTCTTCTAACCCAATACCTTGTGCTCTTCAGAATCTCAGGAGTCTTTCCAAACAGGCCTTTTGACTAGAGATGCTGAGGACTGGACCATCTGCACTCAAGAGGTGTACAAGGAAGACCATGGAAAGTTGCTCCTCCTCTCACCCCCTTGCTTCGCTGTCCATCTCCCATTGACCCGAGGCAATGGACCTCAGTGTCTGGGCAGAACGATGGGGGTGGAGACGCTCCTTCAGGTATACTGGATTGAGGCCATCTTGGGCTTTAAAGGTCAATACCAACACTTTGAATTGTGCTCGGAAACGTACTGGGAGCCAATGTAGGTCTTTCAAGACCGGTGTTATATGGTCTAGGCGGCTGCTCCCAGTCACCAGTCTAGCTGCCGCATTCTGGATTAGGGCCGTTTAGGGCTTTAAAGGTCAGCACCAACACTTTGAACTGTGCTCAGAAACTTACTGGGAGCCAATGAAGATCTTTCAGTATATCTATCTATCTATCTATCTATCTATCTATCTATCTATCATCTATCTATCTATACCCCCTTGGCACATTTAAAAGGCCGTAGATTGTTTCACAGCTGCAAGTCTGGTTGAAGAGGAATGTTTTTGCCTGGTTCCTAAAAATATGTAATGAAGGCACCAGGCAAGACTTCCTGGGGACAGCATTTCAAACAGTGAACCACTGCAGAAAAGACCCGTTCCCACGTTGCCACCCTCTGGACCTCTTGTGGAGGTCCTCAATGAAGGGCCTCAAATGGTGATCACAGGGTTCAGGTTGGTTCATATAGGGAGAGGCAGTCCTTGAGGTATTGCGGTCCTGAGCTGTTGAAGGTTCTACATCAAAACCATCACTTTGAATCGGGCCTAGAAACTTATTTGTATCCCATGCAGTCAGGCTATGTAATATGCTCAAATTTCCTGAAGTTTCCAAACTGTCTTCAGTGCCCTATACATATCACGTTGCAGTAGTCTAACCTAGCGGTTACTAGAGCATAGACAACAGAAGTTAAGCTATCTGTCTCCAAACAGAGGCGCAGCTGGACCACCAGCTGAAGCTAATGGAAAACACTCTGTTGTTGTTGTTTAGTCGTTTAGTTGTGTCCGACTCTTTGTGACCCCATGGACCAGAGCACACCAGGCACTCCTGTCTTCCACTGCCTCCCGCAGTTTGGTCAAACTCATGCTGGTAGCTTCGAGAACACTGTCCAACCATCTCATCCTCTGTCGTCCCCTTCTCCTAGTGCCCTCAATCTTTCCCAGCATCAGGGTCTTTTCCAGGGAGTCTTCTCTTCTCATGAGGTGGCCAAAGTATTGGAGCCTCAGCTTCAGGATCTGTCCTTCCAGAGAGCACTCAGGGCTGATTTCCTTCCAAATGGATAGGTTTGATCTTCTTGCGGTCCACGGGACTCTCAAGAGTTTCCTCCAGCACCATAATTCAAAAGCATTAGGGTTGCCATATTTCAAAAAGTGAAAATCTGGACACAAAAGTTTTTGAGGTTTTTAAAGTTTTGCCCAAAGTTTTTGAGCTTTTCTTAAAGGAAATTCCCCCAAATCTACACTTCTGATATGGGTTGCCATATGTTCAGATTTTCCCAGACACTGAAGCGATTTCTGCCCAGAAACTATTTCCGACAACTGGCTGTGTCCAGGAAATTCTGGGTGTATGGCAACCCTACCCTCTGTGACACCTGAGGCTCAAGCAACAGCAGTGGATAAAAACCAACAAAACCAATCTATGTACCTGCTCCTTCAGAGAAAGTGTAACCCCATCAAAAGAGTGCTCCTTTCATCCATCTGGTCTAGGGAACCACCCACTAACAGGGCCTCAGCCTTATCTGGATGAACTGGATTGCCACAGGCAGTAAAACTGCAACTAGCTATGCCCCCTAATTAAAAAAAATGAATGATTGAATAGAAGATCTCTATCATAACCTCACTTCCAGATGAAAATAATGAATTTTTGGAGGGGGGTGGGTAGGATACTCATGAGAAGGCCTGGGTAAATCTGTCAGTTTCAGTTATTCTGAATTCTTTTGGTCATAAATTCAGTTCACCAGGTTTCCACGTAAAGTTTGCGATATATAATTACGTATATAATGTCGTGAAAATTCACAGCCATTTTACTGTGGATTTCTTCAACTAGAGATATTTAGCATGCAGTTTCCCATTATAGCACATTTTTGCGTGTTATTTTCATGGATATGCACACTTTCCCCTAGTATATGCCTTTTTGTACACCGTGCTTGGCTGACGAACTCCACAGCAAAATTCAGAAAAGTCTGAATTTTTAAAGGTGGCCAAATATCTGCTCGTACACTGTTTTGGTGAGTGAAGAATCTGTAGATCTGCTTTTAAGCGCAAACTGAATCAGATTTCTCCTTTGTCTCTACTTGAACACTTGATGCTCCATCGTGATACAGTATTTTTAAGGAGTCTTCTGGGTAAAAACATGGTGGTTGTCACTAGGAAGAACACTATGATACTGGTGAGTTTCAGTCAGCCCCAATAAATTTCACACAACCCAAATTCAAGAATTGACCTCTCAGTTTCCCTGCTTATAAATGTTGTCACAAACCTGTAAGGAGCAATTTGGTTCCATTCTCTCTACACTTTCTGTCCCAGTAATGGGACCTGCATGGTGGCTATTTCACTCATCTTCCTGAAATAATTAAACCTTTCCTCAAAAGTCCTACAGATGACTTGCTTGAGGAAGAACCTCCAAATTCTTCTCATAGGTGCCAGCTAGAGTGGTGATGTATCCTACCTTACAGAAGACAGCCTTCATTTTGAAGAACTGCTTTGCCTAAGTCTGGCTTCATTTAACCACTAACAAAACCATATCCAAGTTTATATTTCCTGAACAACATTGACAGTCATAGTTCCCCCCAAAGAATCCTGAGAACTGTTTGTTAGGGGTGCCATATTCCCCTCACAGAGCTACATAGATTACTGAATAATGGGACCAGCTGGGAATTTGGTGTGATCATGAAGGAGATTTTCCCAGGGTGAGGGTGAGGCTCATCCATTACACTGTGAGTGTCCTGACCCCTGTGATTTCCCCAAATGCGGGAAACTCAACTGCATAATTTGTGGCATGAATTTTCCCAACAGTGGCCCCCACCAATTTGCTCGAAAGGGTCGTGGCAACTCTCAGAAGAGATATGCAAGCTGTCCAGGGAAGGAGAGAAAGTTCAATTGCACAAGTGGAAGTCCTCATGCAGATGGAAGGATTTTGTTGAGCACAACCCATTCTTTCTAAATTTGCACCTACAGATATAAATTAGCCCACCCTATTGCCCACTCCAGGTAAGCATGTGATTAAGCAGCGCATCGATCTGAAGCGTCCTTGCTCATTTTTGTGGCAACTGTTTCCACTGCCAAAGAGGCAAGCCACTGTGTAGTCTAACAAGTGGCTTGTCTCTTCAGCTATGAGGTGTGCTGCAGCAGAAACCACTATTAAGACTTCAGATGCAATGCCCTCCTTTGTACATGTGTGAAACTTCTTTGGATCCCACCCTCCATAAGGGGGGGGAAATGCTATTGAAAAGCAATTTGTTACAAACATGGCTGGTGCTTTTCCTCCTTTAGCTTAATTATATTTCTTTTCTCTGTGTTTTCTTTCTTACCCGCTTTGAATGGCCTATTGCATCTTTTAAGCCCTTTCCTCCTGAGGAAAAGATAGGCGTGTGAGTTATTTAGTGAACTGATTAGTAATTGAAGGGCCTAGTTTGGAAACTGTACAAGTTTTTCAATGAATATTCATAAAAAAAATAATTAACTTGCCTCCTGATTTAGAACCCAACAACAGTTTGCTTCTATTTTATTTTTTTTAATTTTTTTGATAGATGAGTTAATTATATGCTGTGGTTTAGTTGCTGAGGGTTTCACTCCTAAGTGGCGATTGACTAACTGCTTCTGGTGACAATAACCCTGTGTGGGGTTTTTATGCTCTCATAATAGGGCTCTGCAGCTGGAGGGAGGGACTCAGCCATTTGCCCAGGAGAAGCAATGGCTCCCTAATGTGAAGGCCTCTTACCCCCTTCCCAAGAGCATCCCTCTCTGGCTCTTACGGACACCATTCTTCCTCACTGCAAACTTGTAATTAACTCTCTTTGATGCCAACGGGAAGTTGCTAAGAGCTACCCTACGGGAGAATATGGCTCCCTATTAGCCCCATTGGGTGTGTGTGTGTGTGTGTGTGTGTGTGTTACATTTTCAAAATGGCCGACATGCCCACCAGTTTTTGGACAATCAACACGGGTTGCTGCAAATGGGAGCACCTTTGACATGTAAAACAACAGCCAGGCCTCTATTCTGAGGCTCACATGAGCACAGAAAGACAACAAGACATCTGACTGAGAAGTTCAAAAGGCATGTTCGGGCACGAAAGTCCTACAGGCAGAGACCATGGCGTCATCCACATGAGAGTGGCTGGTGGATCTTTTGAATAAAGAGGGAGAGAGGCATAAAGAAGAGCTTAGTCATAGGCAATGGGCAGTGGTAACTGGTGCCCAGTGAACTGGTATGGTGAAAGGCTGGAGGACCAGCACTAGGGGGAGCCAGAGCCACTGTCAGGCAGAGTTACCCCTGACTTCTTGTAAGAAGGTAAGCAGTTGAGGACTGTCTAAAGGTGGGCTGAGGTTGGTAGGGCAGTGCCCCATTGACCCAAATGGGACCAGACTCTGACTGGACAATTCTGAAGGGAAAGGGATTAGAGATAATGCCCAAATCTTCCTCTTTGGAGTTTCTCATTGGACTGTGGAGTTATGAATCCCCTTGTCTTGGTTCCAGCTTGGGCATCCAAATGCATTAGGAATTTCTCCGTTGTTCTGTTTCCTTCCTTTCACTCTGAAATGCTGTTCCAAGCACATGTTACGCCCTAGGGGACAGGTTTCAGTTCCACCTTCCTTCAATTTAATTGTGTGATACCTTCCTTTACAGAGCCAACTCGCACATTGGGAAAATGAATGCATTTTTTAAAAAAGTTATTGTTGGTGGAGCTGACTTATGATCCCTCTTGCCAGGATTTTCACCAGTGCACACGTCGATTGGTGTTTTCAATAGCTTCAAAACAAAACTGTTTTTGCCATCCTATTTGGGGACTTTAGCAGAGAATTTCAACTATTTAATGTCATTTCCACAAATATATGCATATTTTTTTTTTGCATGCTTGACTGCAGCATATGGATCTTTGTACAAATCACTTGGCTGGAGAACGGCACTGCAAAATTCAAAAAAGTGTGAATATCGAAGCACGGTTTCCAATTCTCGTATTGTTCTGGAAAGCGCAGATTAGGTAGGCTTGCCTTTAAATGTGAACTGAACATATTCCCTACGCCCATCACAATGAGGTGTTATTATGAGGGGAGAAATAGCAATAGCAAGTGCATTCCAATATTTTCTCCCATAATATGAACATAGAAGAATTAGGTAGACTTCTCCCCCACCACCCCGTACACCCCCACCCAAAAGCATACAGACACCTATGGAAAGAAGGTTGAGAACCAGAATTGTACATGCAAACCAATCGTTTTAATGCATTTTGGGGTTTTAACTTTTGTATGGTTTAAAGCAGGCTTGTGAATTTTCCCTGATTTTGCTGTTTTATCTTTTGCAAACTGCTTTGAGGTTTGCTACCATCAAGTGGTGTATAAACCTTATGAAATAAATAATAATAAAGTAAATTTCTGCAACCCATTGGACGACTCTTCTGTTTCTTTGGTTATCTTCTTCTCTGTCTCGAGCCTAACCGTGAAAATAAGTGGGATGATGTTGGATTATTTATATGTCAGGAACATAAGAAGCAGGCATATGACGAATTGGAATCAGTTGTCCATATACCTCAGTACTGTCTACACTGGCTGGCAGCATCTGTCCAGGGTTTCAGGCAGGGAATCTTTCCCAGTCCTGCCAAGAAATAATAATAATAATAATAATAATAATAATAATAATAATAATAATGCCACAGCCACTCTGGGCGGCTTCCAACATAATATAAAAACACAATGAGACATCAAACATTAAAAACTTCATGATATAGGGCTGCCTTCAGATGTCTTTGGACATGCCAGGAATTGAACCTAGGAACTACCACATGCACAGCAGTTGGCTCAAAGTTTTTGTTTTTATAGGTAAGGTAAAGGGACACCTGACCATTAGGTCCAGTTGTGGCCGACTCTGGGGTTGCGGAGCTCATCTCGCTTTATTGGCTGAGGGAGCCGGCATACAGCTTCCGGGTCATGTGGCCAGCATGACTAAGCCGCTTCTGGCAAACCAGAGCAGCGCACAGAAACGCCATTTACCTTCCCGTCAGAGTGGTACCTATTTATCTACTTGCGCTTTGATGTGCTTTCAAACTGCTAGGTTGGCAGGAGCAGGGACCGAGCAACGGGAGCTCACCCTGTCATGGGGATTCGAACCACGACCTTCTGATCGGCAAGCCCTAGGCTCTGTGGTTTAACCCACAGCGCCACCCGTGTCCCGTTTTTATAGGTGGCATTCATCAATACTGATTGTGAAAGCTGGGACACAGTAAAAGGAAGCATCATTTTCAAAAAGCTGAGATCCTCTTAGCCATTGTGCTATGCTACCTCTATGAAAATTGATATGCAACTGTCCTCTCTTACCATGTGGGGCTTGATCCCCACAACTCTGCGATTGAGAGCCCTCATGACTGACTGACTGAGCTGTCCCAGCTATAGGAAAGGAGGCGAAAGCCTATAGCACCCAGTATTCCCAGGTGGTCTCCCATCCAAGTATTAACCAGGTCTGACCCTGCTTAGCTTCCAATATCAGACGAGATCGGGCATGTTCTCAGTTCGGAGGAAAGAGGTGACACAATAGGAGTGTATAAAATTATGCTTGGCTGGGGCAACCCAGTCAGATGGTTGCAGCATAAATAACGAAATTGTTGTTATGGAAAAGGACATCTCTATTTTCATCAGAGAAATGTTGGAGGATATGTACTTCTTGGGAACCACTGTGAGACGAGGATACTGGACCAAACCTATACGATACGATAATCTTTATTGTCATTGTCCCATACAGAAAAAGGAAATTGAAAAAATCTACATCAGACATTCAAAAACCCACAAGCCTGCTATCCCAACTATCCCAGCCTGGTTAACCCCCTAGAAACTCTGATACCCCGTAATTAAATACAATATACTCCCACAGAGGCTACCTTACACTGCGTTTAAAACTAAAATCACATTTGGATAGAAATTGTTTCTCAGGCAGCTAGTCCTAGTCTTTATAACCCTGTACCTTCTTCCAGAAGGCAGAAGCTGAAAGAGATCATTTCTGGGGTGTGCACTATCCTGCGCTATCTCTGCAGCTTTCTTGTGACACCTGGCAGCATAGATTTGATCCAAGGTGGGAAGAGTGCACCCAATTATTCTCTCCGCAGTCTTTACAGCCCTGGACATCAGTGTCCTTCATATGTTCTGACGAGTGGGGCCAGCCCAAAAAAAACCCTTTAAAACAATGTTTATTTCTTACAGCGTTTAGTCATTTTAAGCCTCTTCTTCCTTATGGAGAAATGGGCAGTCTAAGCTGACTTCCCCACCTCAGACTACAGTACTGAGAAATGATCTACATTCCATTGAGGGGGGAATTTTATTTTATTTTTTATCATGAAATCTTCAGGTGACCACTTTCTGCTTTATTTACACGCCACTTCTCACAGGCCCAACATCTCCCAGCCCTCCTTGGAGAAACCAAATTCATTTCCCCCCCTCAGATGGCAGAGCAAGATTGCCATCTAGCGTCCCTCTCTCTTTCCAAGTCTCGTCTTTTTCCTCTCCCTCTCTCTCCCCCCCTTTCAACCCTTGCTTCCTTGCCATTTTTTTTCTTTCAAAAAAAAAAAAAAAAAAAAGGTTTTTATCCCGTCAAGGAAAACCCAGCTCTTGGAAAACAACCAACTCTGTTGGAACTCGGAGATAATAATCAGTTTCTCTGGGCTTGTGAAATTGGCTCATTAAGCGTGCTTTTTAACAGAAAATATTGGAAGCGATTAAGTCTGCTTTACTGAGTGGGCATGAAATGGCTAACCTTCGGCCACCCACGGCTCCTAGGTGCCTGCCGTCGTTTTATGCATGCCGCGTAATGTCTTTACTTGAAGTGCTGTTTATTCACCGCCTGCTTATTTATCTCTTTGCATTTGGCAGGCCCATCGATCAGTGTTAAACTGTCACACAAGGTTATTTTTCTTTTACATAACTGTATGGGCGAGAGGTAGCGGCGTATTAAAAGTAATAACTTTCTAACTTTGCAGCCCCCGTTTTTTGCGGGAATGCGTCGTGGCTCAGCATTTCCAACATGTGTGCGAGAATATAGATATATACTTGCACACACACTCTTAATGCGGCACGGAGACCGAGGGCCGAATTAGGGTTCATTCGGAATATATTGCATTAGTTTTCCGGATTATAATGCCATCCCGTTTTCTAGCAGGTCTTTCGCACCGCACTGCCTGCTGCATTAGGGAAATCTTTCTGACCGATATTCTGGCATTATTTATCGTTTGCTTATTGCATTTGTATCCCACCTTTTCCTCCAAGGACCTCAAGGTGGCGTACAAACCCAGGGCCGGCTTACCCATAGGCGCTAGGGGTGTGGGGCACCCGGGCGCCAGGCTCTCAGGGACGCCAGGCCGAGAATTCAGGGCCAAGATTTGGAGTCCAGGGAGTGAGGAGCCAAGCCGGCCGACAGCCGCTGCCGAGTGGAGCAGAGGCTGTCAAAGCACCGCAGGCTTTTCTGGGATTGGCGGGCTGTCAAGAGGCCCTCCCAGGGCATGAATGCTGTTCACATGAGGTGCACAGTTTCCCTCCTAAGCCTCTGTAGGAATTGCAGCGGCATGGGAGAGAGTTGCGTACTCCCCAAAAGCTAGCTCAACAACTCTGAGCTGCCCCCCTAAAAAAGCTCAAAAACCTTGGCCTGCCCCCTCCCCCAAATTGGGGGGTGCTGGGCAGTTCTTTTGCACCCGGCGCCGCATATGCTAAAGACAGCCCTTTGCACACATCTCCCCTTCTTTGTTAAATGCCCACAACAACCCTGTTAGGTAGGGTAGGCTAAGAGGCAGTCTCAGTGATCTTCATGGCCGAGTGGGGATTCAAACCCTGCTCTCACAGGTGCTAGTCCGACACTCTAACCACTGCGCTACACTGGCGTGTCATGCTAAATCTCATCCATGGGTGTCTGGTTGCTGCTACTTATCTGATCCAATAAATGCTGCTTTTTGAGCTGGCTTCTGCCTGGCAGTGGGGAAATTAGTCTTTCAAACAGGGTTGTGCTTACACCCTATATATAGGGTGCCTACATTCTGCTTGGCTGATTGCAGGGCAACATGTGCAAATGGCTTTAGATACCTATTAGGTTCATAAATTACCATATAACATATATTCAACACAAAAAACAGAGACAATTTGTTGTTCACAAAGGACAGCTGGACATTTAAAGGGCTCCATTACCTTCAGTAGCTTAGGGTCTCATCAAACCTAAATCCGACCCTTCCCCCCACTACATCCCAGAGTGCCCCTCTTTGGGGACTTGGCGCAAATTCTGCAAGCTAAAACCCAGCTTAGCCAGCAGAAACTCAGCTCAGGACTGGCCAAGACAACCCAAGATCTCCCTATTCCAAACTCACTCATCCCAGTGGGTCTTGGGTTTAGGATTACATTGAATCAGTTCAAGTCTGCACAAATTGGCCTATGATTGAAAGAAGAGTTTAAAAAGAGACAAAGGCGTTATTCATATTTGGACGGTGTGCATTTGGGCCACAACCATTTTGGTTTCCTCCTTAGTGTGGAAGAAAGGGAGATGCCTGCAGTTTTTAAAAATACTTATGTTAAAAAATAATTTACATCTTTCTTTTTTGAAAAAAATGTGTTGCCTGATTAATGAGGGATGCCTTTCCCCCATCTATTAAAAGGCTTTTAATTAGTTAATTTAACTGACTTAACTGGTTAAACTTTAATCCTAAATTTTGCAGCGCTCTCTCTTTCTCTCTCTTGCATGTCTACTTCCTTTCTGGGCTGGGCAGGCTCCAGCCAGCCAGATATTGGAGTCTTGCCCAACTCAGATACGAAGATGGTACCCTCTTCTCCAACCCTTTGTAGCTGAGCCAAGGCTGCATGATGTCTGAACACTGCAGATGGCTTGGTTCTCTGTAAAACCACCACAGAAAGGAAGCAGGGATACCTCCTGGCTGCGGACTTTTCATACTGCACGATCTAAAGTCTCTGTAGCAATAGAACTGGAACTATATATCCATGTGAAACCCCAATTCCGTACATATGGGGGCTTAACAACAACAACAACAAAAACAACATACCCTCCAACATTTCTCCGATGAAAACAGGGATGCCCTATTACATCATCATCATCATCATCTATATGCTACTCATTAAATGGGACACAGGTGGTGCTGTGGGTTAAACCACAGAGCCTAGGGCTTGCCGATCAGAAGGTTGGCGGTTTGAATCCCCGCGACGGGGTGAGTTCCCGTTGCTCAGTCCCTGCTCCTGCCAACCTAGCTGTTCGAAAGCACATCAAAGTGCAAGTAGATAAATAGGTACCGCTCCAGCGGGAAGGTAAACGGCGTTTCCGTGCGCTGCTCTAGTTTGCCAGAAGTGGCTTAGTCATGCGGGCCACATGACCTGGAAGGTGTAAACCAGCTCCCTCGGCCAATAAAGCGAGATGAGCACTGCAACCCCAGAGTCGGTCACGACTGGACCTAATGGTCAGGGGTCCCTTTACCTTCTACATTAAACACTAAAAAACATCCCTATACAGGGCAGCCTTCAGGTAACCTTCAGGTAATATAGCTACTTACTTCCTTGGCTCAGGGGTTATATAAATCCATACCCTCCAACATTTCTTTGATGAAAATAGGGACAACCTAATGAAAAGCGGGGCATTCCGGTATCAAATCGGAAACCGGAACGGCTTCTGTAAATCCAGGACTTTCCCTGGAAAATAGGGACACTTGGAGGGTCTGTAATAATAGTAGTAGTAGTAGTAGTAATACCAACTAACTCTGAGCGGCTTCTAACAAATTAAAACACAGTAAGACATCAAACATTACAAACTTCCCTATACAGGGCTGACTTCAGATGTCTTCTAAAAGTCAGATAGTTGTTTCTTTCCTTGACATCTGATGGGCCGGTGCGACTACCGAGAAGGCCCTCTGCCTGGTTCATTCTGCGTAAAACTTAGTGAGCAGTGGAACTGTGTGTGAAAAAGTAGTAGAAATAATAACACAATGAGTCTAATCGGAAGTCAAATGTGTTTATTTTGCTTTGTTTTCTTCTTTCTCCACCCCCCTTTCTTCCCTTTCTCTCTAATTTTTTCTTTTTCTTTTTTCATACCTCTTTCTTTGGTCTTTTCCTCTTTGACCTGCTAAGAAAGAGATAAAGAGATAAAAGTTAAATATGAAAACTCGAGTAAGTTAAAAGTGATGTTTTGTAATTTTTCAATTACTGTTCATTTATTGTTAAAGTTGGTCAATTGTAATGAACTGATGTAGGTTTTCCCAGTAGTGAAGTATGGAAGTGAGAGCTGGACCATAAAGAAGGCTGATTGCTGAAGAATTGATGCTTTTGAATTCTGGTGCTGGAGGAGACTCTTGAGAGTCCCATGGACTGCAAGAAGATCAAACCTATCCATTCTGAAGGAAATCAGCCCTGAGTGCTCTCTGGAAGGACAGATCCTGAAGCTGAGACTCCAATACTTTGGCCACCTCATGAGAAGAGAAGACTCCCTGGAAAAGACCCTGATGTTGGGAAAGATGGAGGGCACAAGGAGAAGGGGACGACAGAGGACAATATGATTG